CATATGTCCGCCGAAGGAAAAAACAAAGCAAGGCTGAAGTGTGATGTAAAGCAAAGAGAAATACTTATCTTAAAACGATGCGAAGAGTTACAAACCCATCGATTAGGCTGAGCACTCGCTGAAGATCCAAATTGAAAGGAAAAGGCGGTAGAAGTGGGAGAAATCTAGACCTTTCGATCGACGGGGCGAAAACGGCCACGCCTGCCTTGGAGTTCTTTTCTGCTCTTCTCTCTGCCCTATACATCTGTCTTCCTGTCGTCCTCACAACTCGACGCAAGCTCGCCGGAAAGGTATCCATTCACAGTAGACCAGCTAAAGTCACTTTATCGGCCATTTAAAAACCTTTATACGCGCAGAAACCAACCAGTACCTGCTCCTAGGACCGACTTAACTTGGTGGTAGAATTTGGACTTTAACGCGTCAATTCCTCAAAGTTGCCAAGCACTAATGCAGGGCGTGATCCCGAGCTGCTGCTGATTCCCTTCTCTTTCACAACTAAAACCACGCTGCGGGATTTATTAACAGTGTAAACGGCTTGCTCGACTGTGGCGTTATTTTCGCGATTTGCTCCGAAAATCGCTGGGTAAAGCCACTGAGGCGATCTTTGATAAGCTGTGTAAGGTTATCCACTAAAAGAACCGATAAACTCCGCAACAGATTCAATTCAATTCTTTATTCACACTATATAAGATATTTACATAAGTGTACGTAGGTAGGAAAATAAAGTAGCTGACAAATAATAATTAACTAAAAGACATTAAGTTCATTTGTGCACGGTGTCCAAAGTAGCAAGAGCTTTCTTGTTGGACACCGTCATGTTGAAATAATTGGCAGCAGTAAAGGGAGGAATAAAAACTCAAATAATATCAGTGATAGAACATATAAGCAAGGTCAGATTTGGTTAGTTAGAAGACAGGACTTCCATTCTTTCTTAAACTTCTGATATGGCAGACACTTGAGACCAGGCGGTACAGTCTCCCAGATTTTTGGAGCGGAGAATTTAAAGGACGTCCTACCTAATTTGGTGGATACTCTTGGCCTAAAATAGTTCATATTACTGACGAATATAACTGATTATAGACTAGACGCTCGAGCACTTTACTAAAAGGTGAGAGAGTTGCTATGGGCTGATAGTTGCTAGGGTCTGTAGCATCACCACCCTTATACACTGGGGAAATTTGTGAGACTTTTAAAATATCAGGAACAATTCCAGTTTCAATAGACTGGTTATAAATATATGTTAGAGGTATTGACAATGGTTGGGCAGCTATTTTAATTAATTTATTAGGAATATCTAAGGATGACTTGTGATCATTTAAACCTTTAAATAGTGAACATACTTGGGTTTCAGTAACACAGGACATAACAAAGCTAGCTACTGGAGTCGATTTTATGAATTGGGTCGGACTTCCATCACAATTTTCAATTCTTTTGGCCAGGTTTTGACCCACATTGACAAAATGCTTATTAAATTGATCGGCAATCTCAGCCTTATTAGTGNAATTTAAAGGACGTCCTACCTAATTTGGTGGATACTCTTGGCCTAAAATAGTTCATATTACTGACGAATATAACTGATTATAGACTAGACGCTCGAGCACTTTACTAAAAGGTGAGAGAGTTGCTATGGGCTGATAGTTGCTAGGGTCTGTAGCATCACCACCCTTATACACTGGGGAAATTTGTGAGACTTTTAAAATATCAGGAACAATTCCAGTTTCAATAGACTGGTTATAAATATATGTTAGAGGTATTGACAATGGCTGGGCAGCTATTTTAATTAATTTATTAGGAATATCTAAGGATGACTTGTGATCATTTAAACCTTTAAATAGTGAACATACTTGGGTTTCAGTAACACAGGACATAACAAAGCTAGCTACTGGAGTCGATTTTATGAATTGGGTCGGACTTCCATCACAATTTTCAATTCTTTTGGCCAGGTTTTGACCCACATTGACAAAATGCTTATTAAATTGATCGGCAATCTCAGCCTTATTAGTGCTAGCTCTATTATTACGTTTAATTTTCGAGATGGGGGTTTGTCCCTTTGAGTTGCGCTTAACTAGCATACCAATTAATTTCCAAGATGCCTTCAGGTTGTTTTTACATAGGTCAAAGTGTTATGAGAAGTAGTTCTTTTTGCAAATGTTCTTAAGCCAATTCAGTTTGTTAGCATACTTTTTATATTCCGCCACCTTAATTGGATTGTTAGAAATAAAATGGGGGTTTTGTATAATTTATGCTTAGTTTTGATAGATTTAAAAATACCATTAGTTATCCACGGCTTAGTACACAATTTCTGTTTCTTTTGGGACAATTGCCTAATTGGTGCGTGTTTATCTGCAATTGATTTAATCAGATCAGTTATTTTAGTAGCTGTCTCATGCAGATCATTACTATAGATAGCATTCCAGTTGACTGCATTGATATCCTGAAAGTAAGATTCTTGATCAAAATTGCTGTAATCTCGATAATACTTACTAGGGTTGTGTTTCTT